CTAGGTTTTCTAGTTCGTGTGTGTAAAGGTGTTTATAGTAGCCTTGAATGATTTCTGTGGTATCAGTTTTAATATCTCCAGTTTCCAATTGAGCTTTTTTAGATCTCTTTTCTCAATCTTGCTAATGGTCTATCAATTTTATTTATCTTTCAAAAGAATCAGCTTTTGGTTTTATTTATCTATTGTGAGTTTTTTTTGTTTCAATTTCATTTAGTGGTAGTCTTCTGATACTACTTGTTTCTTTTCCTCTGCTGGGTTTGGTTTCTTCTCGTTTCTCTAGTTCCTTGAGTGTGTGACCTTAGATGGTCAATTTGTGCTCTTTCAGACTTTTTGATGTAGGTATTTAACGCTATGAGCGTTCCTCTTAGTATTGCTTTTGCTGTATTCCAGAGGTTTTGATGGGCTATGTCACTGTCATTATTCAGTGCCAATAATTTAATTTCCATCTTGATTTCATTGTTGACCCAGTGATCATTCAGAAGCAGGTTATCTGATTTCCATGTATTTGGATGGTTTTGGGCGTTCCTTTTGGAGTTGATTTCCAGTCGTATTCCACTATGGTCTGAGAAAGTACTTGATATAATCTTGATTTTTTTTTTCTAAAAAAAAATTTTGAGACTTGTTTGTGTTGTTTGCTTTTAACTTAAGTTTCTATTTATATCTTATTGTATAGTCTGTGTCTTAACATTTTTATTGCTATTTTTGATTGACCTTTTAGTGTTTCTACTTAAGAGTAGTTTATATACCACAGTTAGTGTTATAATATTGTTTTTCTGTGCACTTACTATTACCAGTGAGTTTTGTACCTTCACATGAATTCTTACTGCTCTAATGTCTCTTTCTTTTTTTCTGATTGAAGTACCCCTTTTAGCATTTCTTGTAGGGCAGATCTAGTGTTGATGAAATCCCTTAGCTTTTGTTTGTCTGGAAAAGTCTTTCTCCTTCGTGTTTGAAGCATATTTTTACTTGGTATATTATTCTAGGTCTATATAAACATACATTGGGTATGTTACATTTTTTTTTTCCTTCAGCACTTTAAATATGTCACACTGTTCTCTCCTGGGCTGTATGGTTTCCACAGAAAAGTCTGCTGCCAGATGTATTGGAGCTCCATTCGATGTAGTTTTTCTCTTGCTGCTGTTGGGGTCCTTTATCTTTGACCTTTGGGAATTTGATTATCAAATGCCTTGAAGTAGTTGTCTTTGGGTTAAATCTGCTATAACCACCTTATACTTAAGATACTGATATCTTTCCTTAGGTTTGGGAAGTTCTCATCTCTTTTTACCATGTGAACTTTCTACCTTTATTTCTTTGTGTACCTCGTCCATAAGGACAGTGACACTCAGGTCTGTGCCCTTTTGAGGCTATTTTCTAGATTTTGTAGACATGCTTGTTTTCTTTGGTCTCCTCTGACTGCGTATTTTCAAATAGCCTGTCTTTGAGCTCAGTAATTTTTCCTTCTGCTTGATTTAATTTTGCTCTTAAGAGCCTCTGATGTATTTTTCAATACGTCAGTTTTACGTTTCAACTCCAGAACTTCTACCTGAATCTTTCTAATTATTTCAATCTCTTTGTAGAATTTATCTGCTAGAATTCTGAATTCTTTCTGTTATCTTGAATTTCTATTGAGTTTCCTCAAAAAAGCTATTCTGAATGGTCTGAAAGGTCACATATCTGTTTCTCCAGGAGTGGTTCCTGGTGCCTTACTTAGTGCATTTGCTGAGGTTCATGTTTTCCTGGATGGTCTTGATGCTTGGGGAAGTTCATCAGTGTTTGGGCATTGAAAGTGAGGTTTTCATTGTTGTCTTCACCATCCGGACGTCTTTGTATTCGTCTTCCTTGGGAAGGCTGTCCAGGTATTCAAAAGGACTTGGGTACTGTGATCTAAATCGTATCTGCATCAGGGGACCTCCCAGGCACAGTAATGTCGTGGTTCTCACAGATCCATAGTGATAACACCTTGGTGGTCTTGATATGATCCAGAAGGCTTCTGGGTTACCAGGCAGAGGCTCTAGTTCACTTACTTTCTGTCTCTCTCTGTGCTGGGCCGCCTGGAGCTGGGTTTGGGGTGACGACAGCACCCCTGTGGTGACCATCAATGGGACTGCACTGGGTCAGACCTGAAGCCAGCACAACAGCACTGGGTCTTGCTCAAGGCCCCCTGTGACCATCACCAGGCTGCCACCTATGTTGGCTGAAAGCCCTATGGCTCTACAGTCAAGTGGCAAGGCATCCAGACTTGTGTCCTTCCCTTCAGGGCCAATAAGATGCCCTAGGCCCTTAGCAGGAGAGGAGATGCCATTCAGGAGCCAGGGACTGCAGTCAAAAATCATAGAAACCTACCTGGTGTTCTGCTGTACTGTGGCTCAGCTGACGCTCAAACCACATGATGCAGACCCTTTTATCCTTCCTTTTTCTTTTTTTTTCGAGGCAGTCTTGCTCTGTTGCCTAGGCTGGAGTGCGGTGGCACAATCTCAGCTCGCAGCAGCCTCCACCTCCTGGGTTCAAGTGATTCTCCTGCCTCAGCCTCCCAAGTCGCTGGGATTGCAGGTGTCCATCATCACATACCAGCTAATTTTTGTACTTTTAGTAGAGACAAGGTTTCACTGAGTTGGCCAGACCTCCTGACCTCAAGCGATCCACCCGCTTCAGCCTCCCAAAGTCCTGGGATTCCAGGCATGGGCTCCCGCACCTGGCCCCCTTCTCTCTACACATAGAGAAGCCTCACCCTGTAGCCACCACCACCACTACAGGCCCAGAGGGAGTATTGCTAGGCTACTGCCAGGGTTCCATTAAGGTCCATGGGTTCTTCAGTCAGCTTGCAGTGAATGCTGCCAGGCCTAGGAATCACCCTTCAGGGCAGCATGCTCCACTTTGGCCCAAGGAAGGTCCAGAAATGCCATCACGAGCCAAGACCTGGGATTTGGGGACCCCAAAAGCCTGCTTGGTGCTCTACCCCACTGTGGCTGAGCTGGTACCTAAGGTACAAGACAAAGTCTCCTTGACTTTTCCCTCTACTTTTCTCAAGCAGAAGTCTCTCCCCAGAGCCACAACAGCTGGGAATATGCTGGTTCTCGCCTGAAGCCAGCACGCCTGAGTCTACCCAAGGCCCTTGGCATACTACCTGGTATTATTGCTGGTTCTTCAGGGTCCAAGAGCTCTTTAGTCATTAGGTGATGAATCCTGCCTGGACTGGGTCCTTCCCTTCAAAGCAGCGGGTTTCCCTTCTGGCCCAGGGTATGTCTACAAACGTCATCCAAGAGCTAGGGCCCAGAATGGGGGCCTCCCAATCCTGACTGTTGTCTTTTCCTGCTGTAGCTGAGCTGGTATCCAGGATTACAAGCCAAAAATCTTTACTCTTCCCTCTTTTCTCCTTCAGCAGAAAGAAGGGGTCTCTTCCGGAGCTTTGAGCTGTGCTGCCCTGGGTTGGGGGAGGGGTGATGCAAGCACTCTCTTAGCTACCCTGGCTGGTGTCTCAGATCACTTCCCCCACCCCTCCACCCCCAGTCCACCTGCTCTAAACTCAGATCAGCATTAGGACTTGCCTAGGAATTGCAGTCTTTGTGGCCTAGACTGTTTCTCAGGTTCACTTAGGACCACAGAGCACTCCAGCCCATGATGGTGAGGCTTCCCAGAACTCAGGCTCTGACCCCTGGGATGGGCATTCCCTTCTGGCTAGGGCCAGAATCAAATATTCCCCCTATCAGCAGGCATCAGCTGAGTGCATCCCTGCTGTGCTTTCTGCTGTGACGGGACAGTGGATTTTAATGCAAAGCCTCACAGTAGCAACTGTGCTCTCCCCCTCCCAACATGACAGGTTCTCCCCACCGTGCAGGGTGGGAGAAGAGTGACGCCAGCAACTGAAGACTGTTTTTCCTACCTTTAGTGCCTCTTTCACCAATATGAAGTAAAAACCAGATACTGAGTGCTTACCTGATGTTTGGTTTCTATGAAGGTGCTCCCTGTGTATACAGATAGTTGTTAAACTTAGTGTTCCTATTGTAAGGATGATCAGTGGAGCCATTTGGCCACCTTGCTCTATCCTTGGTTAATTTTTTTTTTTTTTTGAGATGGAGTCTTGCTTTGTTGCCAGGCTGGAGTGCAATGGTGCGATCTCGGCTCATTGCAGCCTCCGCCTCCCGGGTTCAAGCCATTCTCCTGCCTCAGCCTCTCAGGTAGCTGAGATTACAGGCCCACACCACCACACCCAGCTAAGTTTTGTATTTTTAGTAGAGACAGGGTTTCACCATCTTGGCCAGGATGGTCTCGATCTCCTGACCTTGTGATCCATCCGCCTCGGCCTCCCAAAGTGCTGGGATTACAGGCATGAGCCCCCATGCCCAGCCTGGTTAAATAAATTTTAAGGGTCATTCCTTCCTGGAATAAAGTTCCCACCAAAAGACTAAATTTTTAGGAAGCATGTGCTGTTATAGAACAGAATGAAGAGCCAGTGTGAGTCCAACAGCATTGAACAGCTCCAAAAGAAACTTCAAACCAAATAGGTGTATTTGCACAAAGACTATTTCATGAATTGTGCAGCACTCAGAATCAGAAGAGGTTCAGAGAGCTCTGCTACAGCAATGTGAGTGGTGAACTTTTATAGGCTGAGGTGAAATAGGACAAAATGCATTTGATTTATTAGAGTGAAAGGACCCTAGTTGGTAGTTGGTAGTTTCTGATTGGTCAAGTCTCTAACTTTGTTTTACTGTTGACATTGGGATTTGCTTTGCCTACACAGCTACGTAGGAACCTAAAACTCTGAAGCTATCCCAAACCCCCCTGCCACCCTCCCCCCAATGGCCTCTCAATTAAAAATTTTAATGCTAGGAATTCCAGTCCTATTAACCCATGTTTCAATGAGGGGAAAAAAAAAAAACACCTAAACTGGCCATTCAAGTTGATAATTGTAACATTTCAAAAGGAGATAGCACAGAGTTAGTGTACAGGATCTCAGATAGGTTGATCTTTAAAGCTTGATGCCGTGTCTTATTCTTTTCCAGGTTCAAGCCAATGCAAGCGGAGAGTGGGCGAGAGAAGTAAGAGGAATCCCCTTACTTAGCCCAGTGCCACTACATAGTTGGCTCCTGCTCTATGGCAGGCACTGTTTTGCACAAGCCATGACCTTAGAGGAGCATCTACGCCATGTCACAGCCCCCATGGGCATAACTATGAGATCAGCAATTATGTAAGTGGAGCAGAAAGGACTTCCAATTTGAAAATTGCCTAACAGTCTTAAAGCATAATACCTAAAATATTAAATTGTAGGAATTGGTCACCGTATCAAAACCTTAAAAGTCTGTAAAGTCTAATCTTTAGTCAACAAATATTAAAACAGACTTTGTGATGTATGGTTTGTGGCTATTAAGATACATGTTGAAGAAGGTGTGAGAATGAAGAACTTGATGTGAATGGATGGGAGAATATTAATTCTCAGTCAAGTTTCCAAAAATGGAACTTAAACTTTCTAGAGCAGTTTTAGGGTTACAGAAAAATTAAGAAGTTAGAGAGGCTTCTCCTATATCCTGTCACCAGTAATGCATAGCCTCCCCATCAACACTCCCTACCAATGTGGTACATTTCTTGTGACTGATGAGCCTACATTGAAATATCATTATCACCCAAAATCCATAGTTTACAATAGGGTTCACTCTTGGAGTTGTTTCTTCTACTGGTTTGGTTAAATGCACATGACAGGTACCCACCACTGGTTTCATGCAGAGTATTTTTCGCTGCCCTAAAAGTCTTCTGTGCTTCACTTAATTATCCCTTCCTACCACTACCTCCCGCTGCACGACAGCCCCTGAGGACAACTATTTTTTTTTTTTTAATAAACTGTCTCCATGGTTTTGCCTTTTTAGAATGTCATCTAGGCTAGGCGCAGTGGCTCAAACTTGTAATCCCAGCACTTTGGGAGGCCGAGGTGGGTGGATCACCTCAGGTCAGGAGTTCGAGACCAGCCTGGCAACATGGCAAAACCCCATCTCTACTAAAAAAAAAAAAATACAAAAAAATTAGCCAGGCATGGTGGCAGTCGCCTGTAATCCCAGCTACTCGGGAGGCTGAGGCAAGAGGATCGCTTGAACCTGGGAGTTGGAGGTTGCAGTGAGCTGAGATGGCGCCACTGCACTCCTGCCTGGCAACAGAGTGGGACTTGTCTCACACACAAAAAAGGGCTGGGTGCGTTGGCTGACACCTGTAATCCCAACACTTCGGGAGGCCAAGGTGGGTGGATCATGAGGTCAGGAGATCAGGACTGTGTCTTATTTTGTATTTAGTTTGCTGTGTGAAATGTTTATCATGTTTAGCTGGTCAGTACCTTTTCAATATGGATGCCATATTTTCTAGGATTGAAGTAGCTGGTGATGCTAACTCCTATACAGACATATTAAAGAAATATACTAGATCAGCCCTGCAGATGGTAAGTGTCTAGTAGATACATGCACAGCCTTTAGTTAGTGTTCTAAACCATTTAACTAAGTATTTTAGAATTCAAAATGTTGTCGTTGGTTTACTGAACTTGCCAATGAAAGCAGATTAACCTGCATAATACAGCTGAATACAAACTTGCATGGTTTAGCTATTCCTGAATATCACAAACCCCATCTCTACTAAAAATACAAAAAATTAGCCGGATATGGTGGCATGCGTCTGTACTCCCAACCACTCAGGAGGCTGAGGCAGGAGAAATCCCTTGAACCTGGGAGGCGGAGGTTGCAGTGAGCCGAGATTGTGCCACTGCACTCCAGCTTGGGCAACAGAGCAAGGCTCCATCTCAAAAAAATTATGTATTAATCCAATATAAACCTTCCATTTATTTTTTTTCTAGATATTTAGAAACTTTTATTCCCTTTAAACTTATATTTTAGTGTAATTTCAGACTTAGAGGAAGAATTAGAAAAATAATACAAATACCCCCTTTTTTTTAACCACATTTGTATAATCATAGTTTTTCTCCTTTACCATATGCATATAATTGTAATTCATGGTAGTTACTATGTATATGTATGTATGTGTGATATGCTGCTACATTAATCTCTGAATATGTCAATGGGTATTTTGAAAACAAAGAGACATACTCTTAACATGTTACCCAGTTAAGAAAATTAGTATTAAGATAATGCTATTTTCTAATCTGTACACATAATTCTAATCTCACCACTCGTCTGTAAACCAAAACAAAAAAATTAAAAGCTGGTTTTTTTGAAAATATGAAAATTTGATATTGTCAAGATTGAAGATGACTAAGGCTAAAAAAAATAGGAACAAGTAGAATTCATTAGCATAGATTCACTGGTGATTAATGAAATACTAAACCACCAAAAGCTACTATATGGCAGTCATTTGAAAATTTGAAATAGGTCACCTTTAGAAAAAATTTAAATGATTAACCATTTAGTCTGAACTATGGGACAAATATTTCTCAATGCAGACAATGCATTTGAAAATCTACACCCTTTCATGTGAAAGGAAGAAAAACAGTATAGAATGAGGCAAGAATTTCCTTAATCTGATAAAAGATGTCTGCCAAAAATTGACTTAAGTTATTTTTAACATGATGATGCTTAATAACTTTTCCAAAGAAAGTCAGGAATAGCCCAATTAGTGGCCAGTCTTCCTAACTGCTTAGTTTCCTACTGAAGATCCAACCTAGTAATTTGAAACCTTGGAAATCCAGCAATTTCCGTAACTCCTAAGTTTGCTTACTCAGCAGTAAAATGGGAACACTGCTACTCATTTTAGTGGGTTGCTGAAAGTATTAACTTTGCTAAGTAAACCGCTCGGCAAGTGGCTTACACGTCGTGATGAAGCTGTCTCATTGTGTGAGGTGTTATCTGAGCTCTTTGTTTCAGGGCCAAGAAAATTTAGTAGTGTGGACACCAAGAGTAAGGTTGGGGCAAGAGAGGAAAGCTCTCTGCAGCAGAGAGGGGGCCTGAGACGGTTGCCACTTTACAATGGAACACAAGAACTCTTTTTTTTTTCTTTCTTTTTTTTTTTTTTTTTTTTTGAGACGGAGTTTCGCTCTTGTTACCCAGGCTGGAGTGCAATGGTGCGATCTCGGCTCACCGCAACCTCCGCCTCCTGGGTTCAGGCAATTCTCCTGCCTCAGCCTCCTGAGTAGCTGGGATTACAGGCACGCGCCACCACGCCCAGCTAATTTTTCGTATTTTTAGTAGAGACGGGGTTTCACCATGTTGACCAGGATGGTCTCGATCTCTTGACCTCGTGATTCACCTGCCTCGGCCTCCCAAAGTGCTGGGATTACAGGCGTGAGCCACCGCGCCGGGCGACTAATTATAATTTTCTGATAAATGTTTTATAAATTGATATAACTGTTATAATAACATGGCTCTAGACCCTTCATCCTCTTGGACTCAGATATTTTCCTAATAAATTGACTCCAGCTTGTCAGTCTTCCACCTAAGTTGCGTGCTCCAGATGGTTTTTCTTTCCTGTATCACTGTTGTATCTTTTTTTTTTTTTTTTTTTTTGAGACGGAGTTTCGCTTTTGTTACCCAGGCTGGAGTGCAATGGCGCGATCTCGGCTCACCGCAACCTCCGCCTCCTGGGTTCAGGCAATTCTCCTGTTTCAGCCTCCCGAGTAGCTGGGATTACAGGCACGTGCCACCATGCCCAGCTAATTTTTTTGTATTTTTAGTAGAGACGGGGTTTCACCATGTTGACCAGGATGGTCTCGATCTCTTGACCTCGTGATCCACCCGCCTAGGCCTCCCAAAGTGCTGGGATTACAGGCTTGAGCCACCGCGCCCGGCCACTGTTGTATCTTAAGGAATATCACGTTTGCTGTTTTCAAGGTGATTTGTATTCTGCCCACTGATGACAAACGCACATATGACCACATAAAAAAATACCTGTGTACCACATTCCCGATTCCAAGCCAATGTGTGGTGAAAAGGACCATCGAGAAGGTCCAGGCAAGGACTATCATCACCAAGATTGCGCAGCAGATGAATTGCAAGATGGGAGGGGCCCTCTGGAAGGTGGAGACAAATGTATGTTGTATTTCACTGACTCCCTTTAACTTAGGTCGGATAAAACTTGAGATTCGCTCTTCATCGTTAACGCTGAAATTTTGCTCACATTCTAACTCAAGGTACAAAGAACAATGTTCATCGGCATTGATTGTTTCCACGATATTGTTAATCGACAGAAATCCATAGCAGGATTTGTGGCAAGTACGAACACTGAGTTGACAAAGTAAGTAAGTTCTGACAGACGTTGGTTGGTTGGTAGCTGTCTGTGGACCAAACAGAAGAGGTGAGCCTAATTACTACGAAGAGGTTGGGAGTTTGACAGATGAGTTATTAGTCATGTGCTCTCCTGATATTTCTGGCAAAGTTATGTTCGCAGAACATTTTGCGTGGTTGGCTGGCTCCACATCATTTTCTACTGCTGCCTAACATACCACAAATGTGGCAGTTTCTGACAATGCCCATCTCTGTCTGCACGGTTCTTCTGATCAGACATCTGGTAGTTTATAACTCTCAGGACCTTACGAGACATAAATTAAGATGTCAGCCAATCCACATGATCACCTGGAGGCGTGGCAGCCCTCCTCTTCCAAGCTCATGTCGTTGTGCCTGAATCTGTTTCTTTGTGGTTGGATGACAGAGGTCCCTGTTTTATCAGCTTTCAGCTGCAGGCCAGTCCTGGCTTTTCTCACATAGCAAACCCTTCTCCATCTTCCAGCCAGCCAGGGCACCTTGAGTCCTTACTCTGTTTTGAAACTGACCTCTTCTTCTGCCATCAGCCAGAAAAAATATTCCTGCTTTTACAGGAGCTCATGTGATTACAAATGACCCATTTGGAAAACTTTCATCACAAAGCCAACTGAGCCATATAGCATAACATAATCACAGGGTTGGTATCCTGCTATAATCACAGGCTCCAGGGATTAGAACAGGTAGAATTCTGCCTACCATCGCTCTGATGGGCAAATGTCTTTAATGGAGATCATGAACACATAATGAAATATTTCAGATGTGCATGGGTAAAGAGACATTGAAACATAATTAGTGGCCAGAGATCTGTAAGTATAGAATCTCGTCTGCATATACTTGCACCTGATGTACTTGTGAAAGGAGATGCGTGTCTATATCCTGTGCTCTCCGTTGCTCCCAGGGCCCCTCTATTTTCTGTTCTCAGAGTAGAAACCACACTGTACCCTGAAATAAGTTTGCAGTCCTTTGCACATTACTCGATGTGTGACCATTGTAAATCATCTGTGTTTAATAATGATTGGGGCCCGCTGGGTGCAATTCAGAAATATCTTTAAAGTAAGACCAACTTTATTTCTATAGATGATGACTTTTTTCCCAGTCATACACTGTTTCAACATGATAATATTGTTTTTGCTCTACTTTTTGTTTGAAAATAATGTTGCAATCATAGGGAAACATTATACTTTGAGTTAGATGCTTTTTTCAAGTAATAAACATATTTTAATAGTGTAAAATAGAATCTTTCCAATCAAAGAGGAAAAACTTCCAAACAATTAAGAAAATAGCCGATACCTTGAACAAAGAGAAACACAAATAGCTAAGTAAATATTACAATGGTTTACTCCAAACCCAAGACAGCAGAAACCATCATTACAAGCCAGATCGTCACTGGAGCTGTTACCAGATTTTTGAGTGGTCACCATGTTCAGAGGCTGACGCTGTGGCAGTGAACATGTGGAACGAAGGTGCCTGGCCATACCCTATGGATTAAATCCTAGTGAGAAGACAGACAAATACATCACAATATGTCAGGTGGTCAGATAGGGTTACTCTGAAGTAAGAATGTAGTAAGGGGATAGAAACCTGAGGCAACATACAATTTTACTGGATACGTTGAAGTTGTCGCAACAGCTGCCACCGTTCCAAAGCAAACCCCTTCCTCAGTGACAAGGAACATGTACGAGCCACTCTTCAGGGCATTGATCCCAAAGCAGGAACCATGGGGAGCACAGGACTTTCATTTAATTGCATTCCCCTCATGGGCGAAACTACTGTTGGCTTGTACAATAAGGTGTGATTAATTTGTAGTAATGTGAGTAAGTGCTTCCATTCTGTTTCACTATATGCACTCAAAATTTTCTGAAATGCCTAAGGTATCAAAAGAGACCAATGTTTATTATCTCTGTCGAGATACGAATTGATGCTAAAATGTCCCCAACTACTGATAGTAATATATATATGTTTTTTGCTCATAGATGAATGCAGACTCAAAATGAGACTTTAAGAATCTTGTTTTCCAAACTGGTGGTTTATTTTTTTCTGTAAACAGGTGGTACTCTGAATGTGTCATCCAGGACACAGGAGAAGAGCTTGTGAAAGAGCTGCGAACCTGCTTGAAAGGTCAGTGTCTTGTAGCTTTCCACCAGCGATCGATTTTCTCCAGAGGACACTTGGTAATGACTGAACCTTTAATTTCTGGTATCACAGCTGGGGTGGGGGTGCCACTGGCATTTAGTCTGGTGGGTAGACAATAACGATGCTGCTAAACATCCTACCCCACCTCCACCACAAATAATTCTCTTGGATCAAAACTTCCATAGTGCTGTTGTTGAGGAACCCTGGAATAGATAGGACTTAACGCCCTGGAAGCTGCAGTGTTGAAAGATGGACCTAGAATCTGTCAAAAGCAGCAAAGGCTAGTTTGTTTCGAGTTACGGTTTATTTACACAAGTTTCTGATTTCCCTCTCAGCTGCCCTGGATGTCTGGTGTGAAAACGAATCCTCGATGCCACGTTCTATTATTGTGTATCGAGATGGAGTGGGAGATGGTCAGCTTCAAGCATTGCTTGACCGGGAAGCAAGACAGATGTCGACCTACTTACAAGCCATCTCTAACAAGTAGGTTGTATTAATTGTAACGTGTAGTGACTCATGCCTGTAATCCCAGCACTCTGGGGGTCAAGGTGGGCAGATCACTTGAGCCCAGGAGTTCAAGATCAGCTTGGGCAACATAGTGAGACCCTATCTCTACGGGGGTGGGGGGGAAAGGCTGGGCGCAGTGGCTCATGCCTGTAATTCCAGCACTTTGGGAGGCCAAGGCGGTTGGATCACAAGGTCAAGGGCTCGAGACCATCCTGGCCAACATGGTGAAACCCCATCTCTACTAAAAAATACAAAAAATAGCTGGGCGTGGTGGTGTGCGCCTGTAGGTCCCAGCTGCTCAGGAGGCTGAGGCAGGAGAATTGCTTGAACGCGGGAAGCGGAGATTGTAGTGAGCCGAGATTGCGCCACTGCACTCCAGCCTGGCGACACGGCAAGACTGTCTCAAAAAGAAAAAAAAAAGAAAAAATTAGCCAAGCATGGTAGTCTGTGCCTGCAGTCCTAGCTACTCAGAAAGCTGAGGTGGGCAGGCCACTTGAGCCTAGGAGCCCTGCACTCTAACCTGGGTGACACAGTGAGACCTTGTCTCAAAAAAAAAAAAAAAAAAAAAAAAAAAAAAATCACACGGTGTGGATTTTAGCCCTGTATTTCAGTCTTTGAAAATAGATGTTTTTTTGGGGAAAACACTGATACAGTATGTGATGAGGGTAGGTGCTTGATATAAGTAGTGGCTTCTGTGGATGGGTGGAGAGGGAATAAAGACCCTTCTGCTTTGATTTTTGATTTTACACCCAAGTCAGAATGCAAAGCAGAACTGGATCCTGGCAGTAGCGGGCTGCTTCCACCGTGAAGCCCCAGTGAATCTTTTTCTTCTTCCCATTTTCTTTCAAGTCTTGCTGTGGGAGGGCTTGTTAGCTTCAGATAGCCATAGAAATCTATGAACTGCTGGGCGCAGTGGCTCATACCTGTAATCCCAACACTTTGGGAGGCCGAGGCGGGAGGATCACTTGAGGTCAGGAGTTTGAGACCAGCCAGGCCAACATAGCACAACCCCATCTCTACTAATAAAAACACAAAAATTAGCTGGGTGTGGTGGCTTGTGCCTGTAATTGCAGCTACTTGGGAGGCTGAGCCATGAGAATCGCTTGAACCCAGGAGATGGAGGTTGCAGTGAACTGAGATTGTACCACTGCACTCCAGCCTGGGGGGCAGAGTGAGGCTGTGTCTCAAAAGAAGAAATCCATGAATGTCGTCTGCCAGTAGTTGGCACTTACCCTGTATCGTCAGCGGAAGGGGATCTCCAGCCCTATGACTTATTAAACCTACAAAATTCTACTTTTGTAAAACTCCTATTTTATGAGGGCCCGCTGCCCAGCAGCAATGTAAGAATGAGCCTAAATTTGGGAGGAAGGGACCCTTCCCCTGGAATGTGGGTGGCTGTGAATAAATACCTCCTCATTTACTGCTTAATCGGGCACATGGAGCTTAGACAGTAAAATTAGGGTGTAAGGAGGGTTGCTGTCCATTCTTCTTAATGGATCCTGAATGTAAAACTTTTTTTTAAATACACTTATGCTTCTGTGATAAGCTTGAGTAAACATAGTGACACTTACCCTAATTGTTTAAAGTTTCACTCTAGCTTTCATTGTGGTGAAGAAACGAATAAACACTAGATTTTTTCTTAAACGTGGAAGCTATTTTGAAAATCCACGTCCAGGAACAGTTATTGACCTGGAGTTGACTAGGAGTGAATGGTAAGCCACCTGCGTTTTTTGTATCTGCATCTATAATTTTCTTAATTTGCTTCCGTTCAGCACAATCACTTAATTCGAATAACTTTACCTTAAAGCATTTCTGATTCTTTACAGCTAATTGGTCTCTGTTTTCTTATTATTAGGCAGGGATTCCTCACTTGGATCTAGAAATTGCAATTAGTTGTGTGGTTGTTGAAGTTTCTTTATCAAACTTTTATAAATGTCTGTGACTCCCTAAGAGTTAACTTCAGTGAGGCCCTAAAACTCTTTTACTTATGAATACAAAAGATAGCAAGTAATGCTTATATTGACAATTTAGAGTCATCACAAATCAAATTGTATTGACTATATCATGAACATCAAAATGTTTATGCAGTACCCTGAGAGGTTTCTATTTATTTATTTATTTTTAATTATTTTTTTCTGAGATGGAGTCTTGCTCTGTTTCCCAGGCTGGAGGCAGTGGCACGATCTTGGCTCACTGCAACCTCCGCCTGCACCTCCACCTCCTAGGTTCAAGCAATTCTCTTGACTCAGCCTCTTGCGTAGCTGGGATTACAGGTGCCCGCCAACACACCTGGATAATTTTTTTTTGTATTTCTAGTAGTGACACGGTTTCACCATGTTGGCCATACTGGTCTTGAACTCCTGACCTCAAGTGATCCACCTGCCTTGCCCTCTCAAAGTGCTGGGATTACAGGCATGAGCCACCATGGCCGGCCAGAGGTTTCTATTTTTAAAATTTCTTTCTGCTTAAAAACGGCAGTGTGCAAAAAGAGACCAGTTTTTCTTATGTGAAACATTTTGTATGACACTTAATCCTAAGAATCTGAACAAGGAAATGATGCGTTCAGAAAGTAATACTGAGTAGGCTACAAAATGGTTTTGCTTCATATAGTTAGCCCTGTTGTTCCTAGAGACAAGAAGTAATTCCGAACAGGAACAGTGAATTCGAAGTCTTTTTCTTGGACGGGCGCGGTGGCTCAAGCCTGTAATCCCAGCACTTTGGGAGGCTGAGGTGGGCAGATCACGAGGTCAAGAGATTGAGACCACCCTGGCCAACATGGTGAAACCCCGTCTCTACTGAAAATACAAAAATTAGCTGGGCGTGGTGGCGTGCGCCTGTAGTCCCAGCTACTCGGAAGGCTGAGGCAGGAGAATTGCTTGAACCCAGGAGGCGGAGGTTGCAGTGAGCCGAGATTGTGCCACTGCACTCCAGCCTGGCAACAGAGAGAGACTCTGTCTCAACAACAAAAAATAAAAATAAAAGTCTTTCTTGTTATGAGGAAGCAAGTCATTATGAGTGAGAGGCCAAACTTTAAGACATTAGGATTAGACACACAACTTCCAAAAGATGAAAAGGTTGCAGACATTTTATGTAAAAACATATTACTTTAATATTAAAATATTATTCTATTAAATATTTTATAAATATTAAAATATTTCATTAAAATAAGAAAAGATACAAAAAGGAATAAAGGCCATAAGAAGGTTGAATATAAAGGTCAATTTGTATTTGAATATCTAACAAACATGAATATAATTGAAATGAAGAAAAATCAGTGGAAGGGTTAAAGAGAAGGTTAGACATAAAAAAAAAATTGTTAACTGGAACATATGTTCGCAAAATTCCCAAATGTAGTGGAGAATCATAAAGATATTGAAGATATGAAAAAAATATTTAGAAAAATGTAAGGAAATAAGATTTGTTCAATATCAAATAGAAGTTTTAGTAGTAGATATGATGGGGGTGTCCTGGGGTGAAGCAATATTCAAAGAGAAAGTCTGAGATTCTGAATCCTCAGACTGAAGAATAAAAGGATTTGAGCAAAGATCAATAACAGTTCACACTTAGAAATGTTACAGTGAAACTTCAGACAGCAGGCATAAGAAAATTTGAAAGCAACTGGAGGAATAAATATTTACGAACAATAAAAATCACATTCAGCAAGAGTGGAAACCAGAGTACTATGAAGTATCTTTAAAAGGTTTAAAAATAGCCATCAAGCTAGAATTTAATACCCAGCTAACTTATCAAGGGTGACAGTGAAATACAAACATGCTCAGTTATATACAGTATATACATTAACAGATTCACCACATCCTAACTGAGAGAACTACCCAAAAGACTGTATTTTAGGAAGAAAGAAATCGAACAGTTAAGGGAGAATGAATTGCAAGAAGCAATGCTGATCTGTAACAATGGAATATAAAAAACCCTTGATTTCATAAATGGCTAATTTATAGGGTATATTATAACAGGACCTAAAATACTGAATGTAACACTTACATAGAAAAGGAGTTATGAGGTTTAAGCATATTACGATTTTTCAGTTATTAAGGAAAATGATAAACAAGTATAAAGCTTCTGATGCTTTATACTTGTTAAGTCAGTTATACAAATGAAAGACTTATGTGAAACCACAGTAGGAAATCATGACATTCATAACAAGAGTTGGGGGGAAGTGAAGGAAAAGCAGAAACATTTGATCATCAAGTAGAAGGCAGGAAAGGATTAAAGAGAAGAGCAAATAAAAAGTATTATAAAGTACAACAAAAGATTGTACACATAAAAATAAATTCAACGTAATACACATAAATCAATCTTACCACTTGTATTGTCTAAGAAGTTTATAGTCCAGTGATTCTCAGTGAGGCGGCGGGTCTTCATTCCAGGATCTCTAAACATAATTATCACACCCGTATCAGATCAAAGGTGCCAGTCTTGTTTCTTCCTCTAGGTTTCAGTGCATACACTTGAAGTCAAAATCCTAGAAGAGTTACTATGTGTCAGTTACTTAATTACCTTCTACAGATTTGCTTTCTGAAATCGTTTATCAGTTAGACAGGTTTCTAAATGTAAAGGAAAGGTAAGTCTATAGAATAGATCTTTGTAAGCTGTTATACTAAATGTTTTCATTTCAGACATTAGCTTTACTATGCCTTCTTTTGCAAATGAGCTGATACCCACGTGTCCTGTAATTCCAGGTATGACTTTTTTATTGTGAGTCAGTCTGTGAGTGAGGGGACTGTTACCCCCACTCACTATAACGTCATCTATGACACGATTGGCTTGCGCCCAGATACAGTGCAGCGTTTAACTTACTGTCTATGCCACATGTATTATAATTTGCCAGTAAGTACTTTTTACTTTTTCTCTTTAGATATTTTAAATGTAATCAAGATTAAACAATGTTGGACCTCTGAATTGGCTTCTATGAACTTAAATTTCGGGAAAGATGTAAAGTGAAAAAAATTAAGTTGTATTTCTCTTTTTTTCTACTAAAGGGCACCATTCGAGTTCCAGCGCCTTGCCACTATGCCCACAAGCTGGCATACCTTGTGGGGCAGTCCATTTGCGAGAAACCGAATCGTTCCCTGTCAACCCTGCTCTTTTACCTTTGACTTGTAGAAGACCTGATGGGGTACTGAAACCACAACTTGTCAATCTGTCTTCCTTTTGGAGCAGGATGTCTGAAGTACTTTCCTGGTTTATAGCTTTAAATTCTCATCGTTCTTGATTGGGCACAAGAGAGATTGGGAGTGATACGTTCTACTCTCAATACTATCACAGACTGATTTTTCCAGAGTAGAACTTACAGGGTTTGGCTTACATTTTCCCTTTCAAAGAAGTGTCAGATCTTACAACTAAATGTGACTGAACATTTTCCACCCCAAGCAGGGCCACTCGGATAATTGAAAAGACTGGGCATCTGTCGACAAGTAAACTCTACTTAGAAAATTATATCTACTTTAGTTTTGAAACTTTTTTTGTTAGACAGGAAAGGAAGACATCAAAATAATAACACTGGATTTCTGTTTAATATTTTGTATTTAGAATTAACCTATTACTGATGAGTTACATAGGAAGCATTCTGTTATTCCTTGTACTAGGGTGGGAATTTGGATGTATTTTGGGTGAAGTGCTCATAAGGAAAGCTTGATTATGCCTGTAATTCCAGCACTTAGGGAGGCCGAGGTGGGCAGATCACCTTAGGTCAGGAGTTCGAGACCAGCCTGGCCAGTATGGTGAAATCCCGTCTCTACTAAAATTACAAAAATTAGACTGGCGTGGTGGCGGGTGCCTGTAGTCTAAGCTACTCGGGAGGCTGAGGCAGAAGAATCACTCAAACCCAGGATGCGGAGGTTGCAGTGAGCTGAGATAGCACCACTGCATGCCAGCCTGGGCGACAAAGCGAGACTCTGTCTCAAATAAAAAAAAAAAAAGTTGGCAGCTTAGGAACACAAACATTTGGTTACTTTTTTCCTACAGAGAAGGAAAACTAAATTCTGTTAATGAATTTGTCTATTTCATTCTATTGCACAGTCCCAGTATATTATGTTAGCCGTATCATAATTAGACATCTTCAATAAGTTATTTAAGTGAAGCTATTTTTTTCTTGAAAGCAGACTTTTTTTCTCTCCTAAAGCTATCCTTAATTAGACTCGGGAAACTTTTTTTTTTTTTCTTCTTTTGAGATGATGTCTTGCTCTGTTGCTCAGGCTGGAGTGCAATGGTGTGATCTTGGCTCACTGCAGCCTCCGCCTTCTGGGTTCAAGCGATTCTCCTGCCTCAGCCTCCCAAGTATCTGTGACTACAGGCATATGCCACCATGCCCAGCTAATTTTTGCATTTTTAGTAAAGACAGCGTATTGTCATGTTGTTCAGGCTTGTCTTGAACTCCTAACCTCAAGTGATCCGCCTGCCTCGACCTCCCAAAGTGCTGGGATTATAGGTGTAAGCCACCTCGCTTGGCTTTGTTTTGTTTCTTATACTGATAAATAAAGTGGTATTGTAGAGGTAGGGATTAAATTCAAATATACAAGAAAAGGTCTATTTGGAAACAACATAATTGTTTGGTTATATATTAGGTTTACAATTTGAACTGGTCTTATAAGAAATAAAATGAAAAGACTTTAGAAAACGTGAACAGTTATTGCCAACAGCAATAAACATTGAGATGGGTCTGTAATTGGAGAAATGCTTGTATAACCTGTTCTTTTTTGAAGTTAGACTCTGATTTATAATGATCCATGTCTAGAGGTCTAAAAGTCACTTGGAAAGAATAAACTGAAAGTAGGTATTGAAACTTTCTGAATGTTCTCTATAAATACAGTATATCATTTATTCCTAACACTAAATTTAAGATGATGTGATTCAGTAAAGGTATTCATGTTAAAATCAATGATTTTAATGTGAATTCAACATGATTGGAATTTTTATTATACTTTAAGTTCTGGGATACATGTGCAGAACGTGCAGGTTTGTTACACAGTGCCTGTGTACCATGTGCCATGGTGGTTTGCTGCACCCATCAACCCGTCATCAACATTAGGCATTTCTACTGGGTGTGCACATAGAAATGAAGAGCTTTGGCCAGGCATGGTGGCTCATACCTGTAACCCCAGCACTTTAGGAGGCCAAGGCAGGTAGATGATCACCTGAGGTCAGGAGTTTGAGACCTGCCTGGCCAACATGGTGAAACCCCCTCTCTACTAAAAATGCAAAAAAATTTAGCTGGGCATGGTGGTGTTACCTACTTTTAGGGAAGACATTATTTGGGTTTTGTTTGGTATTTTAAGCTTTTTTTTTTTTTTTTTTTTTTTGGTTAGGTGTATCAAAAAGTGTAGACTTCTCTATACTTAATATCCTTTTTCCCCACAATAGGTTTTTGAGAAGTCTGTTAAAGATCATCAAAAGATCTCTTCCTTAACCGTTTCCTCTACCAGAAATCTCTCTAGAGACCAAAATATCACATGGTCCCTTCTCCCTTCTTGATTTTGTAGGAGTCCAAAGCTAATCTGTCCCAAATCCGGATTGCATGTTCCTGTGCCTTTGGGGGCCCTTGTGCATTCGTTCTTCCTTCTCTTCTAACCTCAAAAATGTGTTTTCCCTGTTGGCTGTTTTTCTTTAACATAGAAGTACACTCACCCTTTTTGTCGAATCTTGGAATGAAAGGCTTTCTTTACCACGCGTCTTCCTTTAACCGCCACTACTACCACCTCTCTTTTCTCAGCCAAATCCTGGGAAGAGAAGCCCTCCGTTGGCGTCATTGTTTTTTCACCTCCAGTTCGCTAATTTATCCTGACATCCAGCTCGCTCACTCACACGCACACAAGCCCAGTCACTAAGTTGCCGATCTGTAGCTTTCCTGTACCCCTGGCAACATTTGACTCTGTGTGTTGAGGTAATACATTCTGAGTATCTATTGACCAGGCTCTGCGCTAGGTGCTGCTGTTACAGAAATGAAAAGCAGACATCTTCTCCTTTCTAGTGACTCACAGGAGCAGCTGTTCCTGATTCATACGCAGGTCCCTTGACTCCTGCTGCCCGCTTCTGTAAGCCTGACTTTAATGCTGTGTAAATCAACTTATTCTCCAGGTCTTTTCTTCCCACTCCTCTTTTTTCTTTCTTTCTTTTTTTTTTTTTTTGAAACGGAGTTTTGCTCTCTTACCCAGGCTGGAGTGCAATGGCGCGATCTTGGCTCACCGCAACCTCTGCCTCCTGGGTTCAGGTAATTCTCCTGCCTCAGCCTCCTGAGTAGCTGGGATTACAGGCACGCGCCACCATGCCCAGCTAATGTTTTATATTTTTAGTAGACACGGGGTTTCACCATGTCGACCAGGCTGGTCTTGATCTCTTGACCTCGTGATCTACCTGCCTCGGCCTCCCAAAGTGCTGGGATCCCACTCCTCTTTACACAACTTCTCAAGGCAGTCAGTTCCATGCCTATGGCTTCAGTTGCTTTCTCTATTCTGAGGACAATAGACTTTTTAAATGTTTTGCTGCATGTATTAGCTTTATTTTATACAAGATCCCTCACTTGCTATAATCATAGATTCAAAGTTACTCCACGAAAGTAACAAAAAATGGTGATATTCTTAACATGTAAATTTTAGAAAATGTCCCCAGTTACTCTTAATCGTTTGATTTAGTATGTGTGTTGTTTTTGAAAACATATGTTGGGATGCCAGAAACGGATGTAGCCTACAGAGATTTATATTCAACTTTTGACCGGATAATTCCATTTTAATGTGACACTGAGTAAAAAAAAAAAAACCTGTCTTTTCCTCCTTGCCTATTTCTTCCTGCATTCTGTGCCAGGAGGAAGGCGCTGCTCTGTACCCAGTCTTCCCCAGCAGAGCCTGAGCAGCTCGATTTTCCCTCTGCTTCTCATCTTCTTTCAGATCTCATGACCAAGCACTTCCTGTTCTGTCTCCCAGATGATAACAAAACTTTTTCCTCCACTCTTGTCACTGCCACTGCCTGTAGCATTGCTCTTCCTTTAGACTAACGTCTTTTTTTTTTTTTTTTTTTTTTTTTTTTTTTTTTTTTTTAGCCGGAGTTTCACTCTTGTTGCCCAGGCTGGAGTGCAATGGCGCGATCTCGGCTCACCGCAACCTCCGCCTCCTGGGTTCAGGCAATTCTCCTGCCTCAGCCTCCCGAGTAGCTGGGATTACAGGCACGCGCCACCACGCCCAGCTAATTTTTTGCATTTTTAGCATTTTTAGTAGAGACGGGGTTTCACCATGTTGACCAGGATGGTCTCGATCTCTTGATCTCGTGATCCATCCGCCTCGGCCTCCCAAAGTGCTGGGATCACAGGCTTGAGCCACCGCGCCCGGCCTTAGACTAAAGTCTCTTAATTGGTCTTTTGCTCCCTTCAGTTCTTCCTTATTATGCAGACCACTATGCACACATCTGACAGACACTCCTCATCTTTGTATAGTTCAATGACTCCAATTCTCAGAACATAATGAAAATCAGCATCACCCAAGCATCAAATTTGGAGTCAAATAGAGGTGGGTTTTTATCCCAGGTTAATACACTGTCCAGCAGTACGGTCTCGGAAAACAAACTCCTTAAGTCTTTCTGTACCTCCCTATACTCATTGTTAGGACTGTTTTACACGTATAGTGCCTGGCATGGGGAAGGGACTTAATCAATGTTGAATGAAGGGGAGGCATTTTAAAATCCACATCAAAAAAATGTTCTGGCCAGGAGCAGTGGCTCACACCTGTAATCCGGCACTTTGGGAGGTCAAGGCAGGTGGATGACTTGAGGTCAGGAGTTCAAGATCAGCCTGGCCAAGATGGTGAAATACTGTCTCTATTTAAAATACAAAAATTAGCTGAACACGGTGTCAGGCTCCGGTAATCACAGCTGCTTGGGAGGCTGAGGCACTTGAATGAGAATCACTTGAACCCAGGAGGTGACGGTTCCAGTGAGCCAATATTATGCCACTGCCTGGGGCAAGAATCTGTCTCAAAACAAAAACAGTTCTTTTAAAAATATACTAATCTCACTTTGGGAGGCCGAGGTGGGTGGATCACGAGATCAAGAGATCGAGACCATCCTGGTCAACATGGTGAAACCCCGTCTCTACTAAAAATACAAAAAATTA